GCGATAAAGATGGGGTTAATACAGGCCGATCTGCGATTTCTTTTTAATCACACGCCTTAACAACATATACTAGTGCCAAAGAACTGGGTAAACATTGAAAACTCTCCGATTCATGGAAGGGATTTACTTCCATTACTATTGTTTCATCTGGATGTTCAAATGATCATTTAGCATTTTTTTTTTCATGAGGACAAAAGCTTCTGTGCCTTTGTCCAATGCAAACACCTCCAGTTGTAAATACCTCTAACTTCAACGAGCTCGACATATTTTCCAACTCATCTGATGGTTTTTAAATGTTTCATCCATTTCTATTCTTTTTTTGCGGCTGATCCCTTTACCTTTAATGTGAAACTGATTTGTGAGCAGTACACTGAGCTCTCTACCAGATGCGAATCAAATGAAAATTACATATATTTACTGGGTTTTACATTTTAAAATTTTCCAGGGATCTTTAGGTCCTGATTAAAATGTCTATTGAATGTATTTTTCACATAATTCAAAGTTTTTAATGCAGAAGCTTTTTCTGCATGCGAAATCTTGGGCTGCCTTTCCTTTATCATAATAATTCAAAATGACAGAGACTCGGTTATACCCGTGTTTTTCTGATATGAAATAGGCTTAAATGTAATTCTTCAAGGCGTGTGAATAAGGATCAAAATGATAGTGAACTGTACAAAGAAACTATCTATTAATACAAGGCTAGTGACTGTTTGAGATCAGCCAAAATATAATTTAAAAAAAAGACACATTTGAACTTTGTTCCTATCCAATCATCAGCTTTAAAATGTGTTATGTCAGTTGTAAGGAAACAGTCGTTACAGCTCATTTTGGATATAAATACTGGCTTTTTGGGGGGTGCAGCGTATCAGCAATGTTTCTGAATGCCTGAGGCCGATTGCTGCAGAACAGGGAAGCGGTAACGGGTCCAGAGATATTTTCGATTGTAAGAATGAGAGCCAGCAAACTGGGGATTAGTATTTATGTCTTCTAAATTATCATGTTACCTCAGCACACAATGGAGGCAAAAATACGCCTGAGGATCTCGCTATTCAAAAGTGAACACTTAGGAAAACCACCAGCGAAACAATGCATTCTGAGAAGTCCAGAAATTATCTTTTTAAAGATTTTTTATTTCAAGCTAATGCGAACTGGAAAATACAAATATCTTCTTCTCCTAGTATGTTCTTCGATAATAACAACACAAAGAAATTCTATTGAAAAAATCCAGAAGAAAAGTCCCAAAACTTCTGAAGCTTCGTTGCTGATTTCACCCCTCCCCCGCATATTATTCCTTTCCAATACTGTCTAGCAAAAATTGTCTTGTTTATATTGCATTTTCCACCTTCCCCTCATTACATTTACAAACTATCCAACCATTTTATTTCCTAATTTTCTAATATTAAAGCTTGAGAGGAATATCGGACGAAAAAATGTGGAAAGAACAATGCATTATTCATTAAGCTTAATTGCTCTACGATGCTCACTTACTGTGAATCTGCATTCTTTATTGCCTTGAAATGAAAGTAGAAAATAAAATAAAGAACAGGAGACGTAGGATCTAAAATCTATAACCAAACCGCGCGCGCACACACACACACAGGCACAATATTTTGTATATAAACTGCAACCTTAAATATAAAGCAACTACCGTCGCTCTGTGTGTATATGCATACATGCAAATATACATATATAGCAAGATATACTGTGTATACACACACACATTCAGTTGAGTGTGTGATTAGATAGATAGATACACACACAAATAGATACATACTATATATATCCATGTGTCTATAGACATATATATTTATATCTAAATTCATATACACATATATGTATGTAACAAATATATATTATATATATATATAATAAGTAAACACGAATATATTATCATCTATTTATATACTCCTGTATTTAATTCTCTACCAATAGATTTCTGGGTGCGTGTGGTGTGTGTCTTTGTACGTGCCAATAAGCACACAAACATACATGCATTGTAGCAATACACACATACACACCTACATTCATTTATTCAGTCCAACATAAACATCTTTACATTCGGACCGAAATCTAAATCGGATAAACTGATTAAGATAGGGTTTTCATTCGTGCTAGATTGCTAAGGAAAGGAAACTCTGGGTGCTTTTGTGTTTCCTAAAAGAGCATAAATAATTAAAGTTTGGCAGGGAGGAAAAGCTTTCTTGCAGAACTGTAGTGGCAATAAATGAAATGACTCAGAATCTCTTCTCCAGTCAGTTTTTACGAGAGCTGCCAGACAGTGTCTGTTCACGTTCTCCAGATACTAGGGGCGCCATAACAAAGTTAAGGTCAAGTTAGTGTCTTATCTTGGGTGGCACAAAAATACCGCATCTTCTCTAGCTGGACTGGGTATATTTTTAAATCCGAATGTTATGCAAGTCGTCTTAATTTCACGGAGGTCTTTTGGAAATGTCACTTGGACAAGAATACTTGCTAATTCTAGGCAACGATTGCATATGTTACAAGACACCTAACGGTAAAGTATTCGCTTGAATATATCCATTATATACATTTATGTTTCGATGCTATTTCATCTGGTTAGAAAAAGGATTACTTGTGTTTGGGATAGGATCCAATATGGGGTGAAAATGCCTTAGCAATCAGAAATTCGCACATTCATCTCATTCAGGTGGAATATCTGTAGTGTTATTGGGTGGACATTCAAACAATCAGATGGCTGGGTTTTTGGTTTTGGTCGGGGATTGTTTCCTAATTGAGCTGTTTTCTTATTAACAAATCGTCGCCATGTCGTTGAACTTGAATTGCTTGAAATTGATTGACTCCTACCACAATATTTAATTGATTCTAGGGTTTCTGCAGCCAAAGGAAGGGATACGATTTCGACTAGAGCTTAATTGGTTGTTTTGGGTGCTAAAGAAAATGAAGTTTCATAGGTTCATAGCTCCCCGTCAAATTAATAACTTAGTCTTGAGAAATCCTGGAGCATCATGCAAACGAATCGTTGCCCATGTTCTGCTGGGAACTCAGGGTGGGAAGGGACACAGAAGCCATTTTAGCTACGCAGTCATCATTTTTAGGAGATAGTTGTTGCAGCAAAATCTAAAAGGCTTGAAAGTCTTCCGCAAAGAAGGAAATGATGTGTTATGTGCTGTGCGTTGTATCTAGTGGGATCTTTAGTGAGTATATCTGATGGGATAAATCAGATTGCTGCATTAATGGTGGTATACAAGCGAGGCATCATGGAAAAAATAGATTGAACTTCAAGTTGTCTGAATGGCTTTGGACATAGTCCCTTTGGAAAACAGGACATTATGCTCCGTTTTGGGAACTGCTTTCACGAGCCTTCTATCATATGGACACGTCTGAAGATTTTTTGGGGGAAAAAATCGGAATAAAAGATTCCATACCTCTACCTCCCTCTTTCTACAGCTAAAAGCAAAGTGTGCATAATAGGTGTCTGTCATTGCGGATGCCTCTGCTACCACGCAATGCAGATGTTTTATATCCCATCGGGTTATACTGAGCCCCTTTTCTGGGTTCAGCCATGATAACAAAGTTAATATCCTGGGTTTCTTTCTTTCCTTTTTGTTTGTTTTCATTATTCTTTCAGTCCGCTTCCACACCTGTAGGGGCTTTGCATTGTGTGACATTTTAAGATTTTAAGTCATCTGTGGCCTGAGTGTTTGCAGACAGTATCCTGAAAAAGCTTGGCTTTCAAGGGTTTTTTTTACAAAAGCGATTCTATGTGGCATAACGGCATGTTTTTTTATTTAGAGACGAGCATGCCCTGTGGCTAAGATGGACATTTTGTACTGGGGGGAACAAAAGATTTCTACAGAGATTTGGTAAATGCCCTCGGAATGAATAATGGTCTTGGTGCAGGGTTATTTCTGAAGCTTATTAATTAATTTTGTTTTCATACTACGTGGCTCATTTTTGTGCTCATTTTAGGTATAATAATATTTTAAAAATAAGGTAGGCTAACGCTTATTATGTGGCTCTGCGTTAATAACCAAAACTCCCAACTATGAAATGAAAATGAACATTGGTTGAAGTTCATGGTATCCAGTCACTTTGTCTGATATTCTGCTTCCCAAGGAAATCGTGACTGTTGGGTTTCTTTTCCTCCAAAGATGTGATGTTGCATCATAATCTCTCCATAATTCCAAATGAACCCCGAAAGAGACTTCCTTTAACAAAATAGGCTAACTGTAACGTGCTATTTGCATATTTCTCTTTTCAGTCTCTCTCACGCACACCCTCAGACAAACACACAGGGCTTGTACTTAGGGAAGGGAATAATAAGGTTACTGAGTCTCATAGTTTGAATTTTGAAACAGGTTATTTTTTGCGAACTATGGATTTCTAGATCTGAGTTAGCAAATCTGCTAGAGTATGTAAATAGGGTCTTTGCTTTCCTAAATTTACTATCATCAGCTAATCATCAGTGTAAGTAGCAACAAGCAAATATTTCCGACCCTGAATTGTCATACTACAGCGTCGAGGTCTCCGATTTGAAGCTCACACCCAAATAGCTAGGGATTACCTTTCCCAGTTGAATTATCTGTGCCTATTTCCCCAAATATGTTTAGAGACATGCCTAGAAAGAGGGGATCGGAGGGGTTCTGTATGCGTGCGTTTTGCTTCAGTGGTAGGGGCTGGATTTCCAGCAGTGCGTAGGAGTCGCTACACAGACTGTGCATTCTCAGGTGATTAGCCTCTCTCTCTATTTACCCCATCTTGCCGTGGCAGAAAGAAAGATAAAAATGTAACATTTGTACAAATGCGTTGCTCATCTCTCGGTGCTGGGAGGCTCTTTGGAGGATCTTAGGAGTCTTTCCGAAGGGCTGATATAGATATAAGGACATTTCTACATTGCGTCACGTGACATAATTACCACTAGAATCAATCAAGATGAATTGCACGTCAGCACACGGTGGGGATTTTTTCTTAGTTGATCCTGTCCAAACCCTCTTGTGCAATAGATGGATCTTGTTCAATGCACTGAAGTCTCCTGGTTGCTTGCAATCGCAAAAAGGAAGACATGACTGAGTTTGACGATTGCAGCCACAGTGCATCCAATATGTATCTACCAGGGTGCGCTTATTACGTTTCACCTTCAGATTTCTCGACGAAACCCTCTTTTTTGTCGCAATCGTCTTCCTGTCAAATGGCTTTTCCTTATTCTTCTAATTTACCTCATGTCCAACCTGTGCGAGAAGTGGCATTCAGGGAATACGGATTAGAGCGCAGCAAATGGCAGTATAGGGGCAGTTATGCTCCTTATTACTCAGCTGAGGAGGTTATGCATCGAGACTTTCTCCAGCCTGCTAACAGAAGGACGGAAATGTTATTCAAAACGGATCCTGTGTGCAGCCACCATGGCCCCTCCGCCGCTGCCTCCAACTTCTACAACACGGTGGGAAGGAACGGCATTCTCCCGCAAGGATTTGACCAGTTTTATGAGACAGCCCATGGACCTCCATACCAACAGCAAGCAGAGAACGAGGGGGAAGCGGCCAAGAGCGACTTGAAACCTCAGAATAGCACTTGTAGTAAAACACCTTCCAGCCAAGAGAAGAAAGTGACAACAGAAAACAGCGCCGGTTCCCCTTCTGGTGAGGCTGTTGCAGAGAAGAGCAACAGTTCAGGTAGGTATCAGTAGTAAATTGGGGGCAACCGTACAAGGCCAACACTTTGTCAAGCCGCATTTTATGTGCAATTTTATAAGCATCCAAAGGAGTTTATATATCCTATAAGATTTCCTTTACCGTTGTAAAGCGTGTTTACGATAGGAAACCAATTTAGGTGGGCTTAAGGTATTTTTGGAGGAGGATATTAATTGTTATTAAATTGTTGATTTGGGAGGGGGCAGAGAGATTTCACAGCTATTATTCAAAGCACCCTTAATTATAGATTCTAATATTTTCATTTGTTTAGGGGAGTAGTTTGAGAACCTTGGAATATTTCCAACCAATTTAAACATCCTTCTGTACTGCTAGATAGGGTCTGTTTTAAGGGGAAGTTGGAAATGTCCACCTTTTGCAAAGTTACCCAGAAGGGAGGCGGGAGAGAGAGAAATCTCTCAGAATATTTCCTTAACTGTTAGGATGCTGCTTTCTAGTAAATGCGATATTGTGAATGTGTCTTATCTATCGTTATATGAAAGTGTTTATTGAAACAGCATAAAATCAGTTTATTTTGTCTTGAATTTCAGCAGTTCCCCAGCGATCAAGGAAAAAGCGATGTCCGTACACCAAATATCAGATAAGAGAACTGGAACGTGAGTTTTTCTTCAACGTGTACATAAACAAAGAAAAAAGACTGCAGTTGTCCAGAATGCTGAACCTCACTGATCGACAAGTTAAAATCTGGTTCCAGAATCGAAGGATGAAAGAAAAGAAACTGAACAGAGATCGACTTCAATATTTCACTGGAAACCCCTTGTTTTGAAAGAAAAGAAAATATCCCTATCTAACCTGCCATCAGAGTACACCAGGAAATTGGTTTACAGGACACATTCACCCTGCGGAACGCAAAGTTTCATTTTGTTGTTCAACTCTGGTGCCTCCAAACAATCAATGTCCACTGGCGATATCGGGGGCTTGGCGGAACGCGTCCCTCATAAGGGGAAGCTAGGGTAAATCCAAAAGTCCATTCTCCAATGTTTATCGCCCAAGGTGTTTGTTTTTTGTTTTTTGTTTTTCTTTTCTTTTTCATGATGACACCAATGAATCGGCGGTGTGTATGGTAGATTTTGCTTTTAAAAAAGAGGTTTTTTTTCCTCTTGGTTTTGATCTACGATAAGCCTTTCCTCCCTTAAATGAATGCAATTTATTTAAAAGATGGTAAATGTACATGGTGTGTGTGTGTGTGTGTGTGTGTGTGTGTGTGTGTGTGTTTCTATTGTCATATAAACGCATGGGCCACTGTCTTTTACATGTGAATAAATGGTTTCTAGTAAAGTTAAGGTTATATCTTCTGCTCACTTATGGATTTCCATCTCTGAAAGATCAGAGTGTGTACTCGACTAGAGCCAAATTCAATTTAGTAACAATGGAGGAAGTTAAATCAAATTATTTTCAATGGGATATAAACGTTAGTTTAAATCTCTAACTTATTCTATATAAAACCTTCACTGTTATTCCCCTCAGTTTAAGGCAGCCCAAACATGGCTGTCTGAAGACCACCACTTCTGCTGGTACCACAATTACTATGAGCTATGAAAAACGCTTAATAGCTGTTCGGGCGTCTAAGGTTTGAGACAAGAATTCAAAGCTCAAATGGATGTTTACTAGCTGGGGAAGGATTGTCAGAATGGGAACCCTGAATGTTTCAAACAACAGGCAGCTGTAAACAATTGCAACTAGTTAAAACAAAGTTTAGCAAAAAAAAGTGAATATTTTCACCGTGTTTTTTTTACCGATTCGTTCTGAGTTTCCTATATTTAATCACAGGAATGTAATCAGTTTCCCCAACTTAGTATAAAATAACTGGTCTTTGTCTTTATTTTGAAAGTAAAAGAATTGGTGAAGGTCCCCTCTTCACTTCATGTAGTATGACCTGGCGAAGCTGTTTACAAAACCTTGAACTGTCTAGACAACACCATAAAAGCGGAGGTTCTAAACAGCTTAATTGGGTTATATTATACACCTTCTGGTGGGTGAAAAAGAGATTTCCGCAAAGTGCAATAAAGGAAAGGAGTGAGAAAAGAATCTGTCTTTTTTGAATAAAAAAATAATAGAAAAGTGGGTCTCATTACACTTGCGCCCAGTAAACACAAAAGTACGGAAATAAGTCCGGAAAAGACAGAAAAACTAAAAAATATCTGATTAAATCGTAAGGAGGCATAGCTAAAAAAATAAAATTTTAAACTCTTTAGCAAGAAAAACATAAGTGTATGCCTTTGAACTTCCAAAATGTCAAGGTCATCACCTTTAACCTTTCTGAATAATTAGGCGCCTTAAGGTTCCTCTGTTATTTTCAACCACCACCCACTCTCTCTCTCTTTCTCTCTGTCTCCCGATCTCCTTCTCTCACACGCACATACATACACTCACCACACACGCACCCACACCCCCCCACACACACTAACTACTGCATGGCTAGCCTTATTAGCAAATGCATCATAACGCTAAGAAAATTCCAGCTGTCATGAATACTTTCCAATAACGCTATGTTCGGACAGGTCCCTAATGGAATCCGTCAGTTATGTTACAATGTCTTCTATTTTTCTTAATACTTATCTCGTGTCCAGAAAATGCAGGAAAGGCCATTCTTTCTATAACCGCGCCGAGCTAACATACTATATATAGAGCAGTGGAATGTAAAAAATAACTAGGTATTTCGGAGGAAAACAATATTTCCAGAGAATTCATTTTCAAATATATATTTTAATAGGAAACATCCTATCAAATGGAGAAACATGTAGCAATAGGAAATTATTAAAATAAATCATTTAACATTATCACAAAAATCGCACATCTCTTCCAGGTCTTAATCCATAGTGCAAGAATAAGTTATTTGATTTTCAGATCCCTATGGTGTATTTAATAAATTATCCAAGGGTACGTGGTCCTTTAAAATGTTAAGGCACCGCAAAGATGATCACCAGAAACTAAATATACCGATATAATCATTGCCGAATTTTGCAAATATATTATATTTTAATGTCTATTTAAAAACAGAAATTAACCCCATTGTTGAATACACCTAAAAGCATCAAGGTTGAACGGAAAGCCAAAGAAGATAAATAAATTCACTTGTGCTTAGCCTCTGAATTCCACAGGAGGGCGCGCTCATGTTCTGTAATGCTTACAATTGTCCTGATGTTCAAGTCTATTTTCCTCTTAATAGTAATTGTACTACTAATAAAAAATCTAATATATAAGTAACGATAAGATTTCAGGGCTTTCGAAATGAGAAAATAAAGCATCAAAAAGATTTATTAAACAAATAACTCGTAACCGTGACATGCTCAAGGAATATGCCACTTGAAAAGAAAAATTTTGGTCGTAATCTTTTATAATACATACGAGGTTTAAAAATCCTATAATTTTAAGATAAATATAATGATATTCAGAATTCGTTCAGTATTGCGAAAATCTGTTTACTCTTTTTAGTGCAATCTTAACACCCAAAGAACAAAAGTTATATCAAAATATGTGTCTCCTTTTCAAAGCTTATCTGTAAAATATTATTGCAAGCCTGTCCCTAAAAAAGTGCAAACACAGCTATAACATAATTTTAGAGGTGTATGTAATTTAAACAAAAGACGGGCTTTTGATTCTGGATGTGCCTGTTTAGTATAAATGACAAAAAGGAAGAGTACATATTTTGAATATCGGAACATCACCTTCCCAAGGGATTGTTAAATAAAATCTCTCTCCTTATAATTCTGTAGAGAGCTATTAAAATGTAACTAAAAGGTTTGAAAATTAAGTATAACACGATACATGTCCTGGAAAATTTCCAGTGAATTTACATATTTCTTTTTTCCCCCAATAAGCGCTTGTAAATAATAACACCAAAGATCAGTTAGTTTTTATCTGCTTGTTTGCAAAATTCATCTAAAACTAGCTAATGCATGATCTACTTGTTCAACTATATTCTCTATTTAACAAGCCCTATCCCCGTGAAAGAATTAGTTGACAGTTTGTCTGCGAGGTTTTTTAGAAGTTCATTGTTAACAGTTTCTTGGAAATAGCTTTGCCGTCTGTAATAAAATGACATTGTCCCATCTAAGATCATTGGAATCTTTGAAGAGAAAGGTAACGCTTATCAACAGAATCCAGAGCAAATCCTATCTCCCCCAACATGAATTTAGTTACTTAGTTCCAGAGGAATAAATACAGAAAAATCTTTTTGTTGATAGGTTGGTTGGTTTTAAAATTAACGTACTTCTTTTGAGATCTTGCCTCTTCACTCCATCTCTTGGCTTCTGTATGTTTTAGCCCTTCACATTTATACTAAGGCCATTCTTAACGAATATAAACTTGTGATTGAAATCATATATGTTGTTAATTAAATAATTAGATGAAGATTAAAATGTGGCTTTGTTCTTTTTTGAATCATCATGTAAATGTGATGATTCTGTGGATGGATAAGGGAGAGTATACTTTTTTAAAAACTGTCAGCGATTTCCCAATTTATTTTGGTTGGTCCTATCAGAACAACAAATAGAGTATTTCTGGTTAAAGAACAAATTGTCAGGAATTTATATATAGATAAAGGTACTTTCAAAATAAATAAGATTAGGGCGCATTCATTGGCCTATCTAAACGCTAAACGCTGATAACATCCAGATCACACTCTGAGTTTTGTACTTACGTGTACAAAGAAATATGGATGCACAATAGGCTAAGGTTTTAACCATGTGTGAATATCTTCGTAATACAGGGAATGCACCTATGTGTGATCACACAAGACACCAATATCACTATTGCAGGAAAAGCTAATGTGCAATTACAATTGTTTTATCAACAATAATACTCTTGAAATACATAATGGCATCGGTATATTTTTTAAAAGTTCCGACAATCCCAGCAAGAAAAACGTGACTCACAAAGAGCAGGCTAGTGTTACAATTACATTATTAAAAAAGAAAGGTCACGCTATTGTAGCCAATTTTTTTTTTTTTTTTGCTAAATAAAAATATTCTTCAATCGCAAAGCAATGTAATGGCGTGATATACAGTATATAGTTTGCATTTTTAGTGTCTCCCTACATTAATTGCTCAAATCGAAAGCAATATTACTAAAGACTTCCTGGGTTTCCGGCTATTTTAAAGTTAGCTATTTCTCTCAATATCTTTTGCACTGATTAATACATCTGCAAAATATCTCTCCTTTTTCGTAACCGTTCTCCCATCCTACGCTAATAATCCGATACCAACATAGGAAATTGCAAGTAAGAATCGTTAGAACAGTTGGGGAAAAAATCAGATAACCTGTAATAACATTGGGTAGGGGAATGAAAATTAAACTTCACAGCAACGTCTTTTAACCTCGAATTTCTATTACTAATATTTATTAAGACTGAAAAGCATAAAGCCAACCTATATTTTATTACAAATAGTAATCTAGTATATATGGGCCCTTTTGAGGGACCCCCCTTGAAAATATCTCATTTATTGCACACTATTGATTTATTTATTAATGTTAATTACTTTATTCCATCTTAATATGATTTTAAAATAGTGACATTAAATACCCAGAGTGTAAGTAACCATTTCCCTAAAGACTACTGCACGTTTATTCAACTTCTATGGCAAACAAACTCCAACTTTCCTAACGTTCATTTGTCCAAATAACAGCTAGGCTACTTCATGTACGATTTTAAAAAGCCATGATTTATTATGATCAAATTGAGCTATTCGACATTCCTAAACTCAGTATTAAATAATAATAATTTGAACTACATATTCTGACATGTTATAATCATATTTTCACTTAAATCAAGGAAACATAATGTATAATCAGCAGCAGCAGAGTCAGCTCATTAAATAAAACAGACGCAGGAACGCAGAGCATTTAAGGATTAGGTTATAGTTTTAACTTTACCATTGGTCGAAATACACAGCAAACCTCTGGGATAATACTTCAGTAGGAATATTTCTGGGACACTCTTTTCTTAAAGAGTAAATACAGATTCCGAAAGGCCATTTGATGGGCATAAAATTCCTGATTAGATTTAACAGTCAAGTCTTAAACTGTGTCAAGGAAAATAGTATTTTGTTTCTTTAAACTCGGTGGGTTGTCAGGGCTGTTGTTCCAAAAGAGGAAATTGTTAGAAAGCAGGGGGGAAATCCCAGTCCGCAAACAGTGAGCATCGTGAACCCTACTGCAGTTTGTTCCTGAGCTCAGGCAAATCTTAGCAATGGCTCTGATAATGATCTTAAATATACACATAATCCCATTTTTTGTGCTAAATGCTCGGTGGCGATTAAACACACATGAAAAAGGCAGGGACGCATACAAAGACTTAGGGAGTGCAGAAAAATCTTAAAAGCAGCTCATATTATGAAGGTAATATTTAAACTCTCTGGCAACACTGAAGCTTTAGACTGAAGCTGTAAAAGACACTGGCTCTTAACCTGACAATGATGTTGTATTTGAACAGCTGCGATAAGGTTTTAAGGGGTCTGTCTCATTGCCACAGCGAGATTTTAAATAGGGTTATTGTTTCCAACAATGTAAAGTGTACGGAAAAGTGAAAAACATTCAAATACCAGGAACTCGTATAAAATTCAAATTCACTTTGCTGGAATATGCCATTTCAAAGTATGCTTTTGTGCAAAAGACAGAGTTTAAACTCCCTTTTATGTGTTGTTTGTTCTTAGATATCTGGACTTTTTAAAAACAGTGTTTTGATTATGTAAAGGCCCCAAATAAATAGCTAGCTGAACCTGAAACGGAATTTATCCACAAGTTCACGTTGTCTGTATGAAATTCCTTGACAGCACTATTCTTAAACGAGAACTGTTTGAGTTTGTAACTAGGCAAACATATAATGAATTGTTGCGCGATCAAATCTGATCTCTCGCAATTTTAAAAGTAATAGCTCTGGATGTAAATATAGTTACAAAGTGAGGAGGGAAACAACAAAACACATTTAAAATGTTGGAAAATAAAAGTCTAATTTGCCATGTAGGCAGTTATTGTTGCTTTCTGTGATTTTTTTAAATATTCATGCGGCATTTATTCTTCTGGGAAAAAAGAAGTGGCTTGAACAGCTGTAATAAACCTGAGTTTCTGTATGTTTTTAAATGAGCAATGCTACAGAAGAAGAAATGATCTTTATGGTGCTTTCAGTATCTAGGGCAAGTAATTTTTTATTTTATTTTTATCTTGTTTTATTTTGCATATGCAGAGAGAGCGAGAGCATTGTAAAACAATTTTAAGAGTCTAGGGTAACTCTACACTCATGTTATGATAAAAGTATAGCTTTTAATATTTGACGGTTTGTGTTAAAACAAAATTGACCTTCTTGGTTAGTAGCGAGGGGAAAAAATCAATAGTATAATTTTCAATAATTCATAACGGGAACGCCATTATGCTAAATCTTAACTATTAATCTTATCCTTTACAAAGTCTCGATTGATTTGTTAATAAAATATCTTCCCGTGTGTGGCAACAGAGGGTATAACTCTTTAAAAAGCTTCAGAAGCAAGAAAATTACCAAGTAGCCCAAGAATGTAGATGAGAATTTTATTGATCGCCCTGATTCTTCTTAATACGTATTAATAAATTCCACAACCTTTTGTACCTTTTGCTTGTCAGGAACCAATGCTTTTACAAAATCCATAAAAGGCAAACATATTTTTCTTTGCATAATAACCAAATGACACCTTCGGATTTCGCACATGGTTCAGCACATCCAGTTGTCTAAAACTTTTAAGGGTTTTTTTTTTTTTTTTTTTTTGGTAATTAGTATTACTAGCATTAAGGAAAAGGGGGAGAAAGAGCCTTTCTCATATAGTGAGCTTTGGGGGCGGCTGCTCTGAGAGCACATTGCTTGCAAATAACTGTCTTCTGCATGAAACTGCACAGGGTCTTGAAGTAATGAGCGTCCATGCGGCCAGAAGAAACCACTTATTTTCGTACCAAAAAAAAAAAAAAAAAAATTGCACAACCTATGGGGGTTTCATTATGTCCATTACAGTGATTTTCCGGGGCGTTCTGTCCGCAAGGATCTGTTTCATGTTTGTCCCCATCTCCTTGGACCACGGGACAGTAAGCTGCCAGGAGTTCGGTGAATTCGGATTCAGCTTGTTTGTAATAAAACACAACTCAGAGAAATAAAGCCCCTTGTTTTAAATCAGCGCAGTGCGCCAGGGCTGCTTCGCAGGGCTCGGGCGCGGGGACGGCACTTTCGCCCTGGCGTTCTAGATGTCGCTGTTGACCACATTTCAGACGCAGCCCGGACCGTCCCGCGGAGCACGTGACTCGCGGGGAGGTAGCGGCTCAAGGCCATTTTCAAATCTCATTGGCTTGGTTGTCATGTGGTTGTGCAGAGGCATCCACAATTACACAGGGAATGTTTTCCTAGAGATGTCAGCCTACAAAGGACACAATCTCTCTTCTTCAAATTCCTCCCCAAAATGTCCTTTCCAAACAGCTCTCCTGCTGCTAACACCTTTTTAGTAGATTCTTTGATCAGTGCCTGTAGAAGTGACAGTTTTTATTCTAACAGCGCCAGCATGTATATGCCACCTAGCACAGACATTGGAACTTATGGAATGCAAACCTGTGGACTTCTACCGTCTCTGGCTAAAAGAGAAGTTAATCACCAAAATATGGGTATGAATGTACATCCTTATATACCTCAAGTAGACAGTTGGACAGATCCGAATAGGTCTTGTCGAATAGAGCAACCTGTTACACAGCAGGCACCCACTTGTTCCTTTGCTACAAATATTAAGGAAGAAAGCAATTGCTGCATGTATTCTGATAAGAGAACAAAACTAATTTCTTCAGACGTCCCTTCCTACCAGAGGTTGGTCTCTGAATCATGTCCCATTGAAAATCCCGAGGTTCCTGTCCCAGGATATTTTAGACTAAGCCAGACCTACGCCACTGGGAAAACCCAAGAGTACAATAATAGTCCTGAAACGAGTTCAACTGTAATGTTACAGTTAAACCCTCGCGGCAGCTCCAAACCGCAGATATCTTCTCAACTTCAAATGGAAAAGAAAATGAATGAAAATCCGAACAACCAAGACAACTCAGCTAAAGTCTCTCAAGTGGAAAGTCCAGAGCCAAAGTCCACTTTGCAAGATGAAAGGAGCTGCCTGGCTGAAGGCTCTGTGTCCAGCCCAGAAGTACAGGAGAAGGAAAGTAAAGGTCGGTATTATAAAGTTTAAACCGTAACGTGCTATAACTTGAACACGCCAGCATCGTAAAACACGGTGTAAAATACTAACAAGCATTACAGCCATAACATTTAATGATAAGGAGGAATCGGGCTGCAGGTGCTGTGTCTCTGAAGCTTTTAGAAGGGCAAAATGCTACACAAAAGATTGCAAATTCTTTTTTGATATTTACATATCCTCCTATGCAGATAGTCCTCTGTGCATGCGGAGAATATATATTTTATTCTTTGTAATAAATTACAGTATCAAAAATCAATGAAACACCTCAAAATAGCTCTAGAGCATGTACAATACGACCAATTCACCTTTTATCTTGTAATATTTTGGTCAACTATTTTCACTCAGTCTAACTGTGGTTTGATTGCATTGAAAGTTAATTATGATCCTATTAAAATAGAGGAGAAATGGGTGCTACAGAGCTGCATAAAGTTTTAAACAAACGTACAATGAAAACAGTAGCCCGCTATCTGTTTGATGAAAAGTGGACTATTTTGCAGTGGTGTTTTTGATAACCTTGGTTTTGTCTTTAAAAGTACAACATTATTTTGAAATGTATTTAAAAGATGAATGAGATAATTATTTGATTATATTTTCCTTTTAAAAGTGCACAATAGCCTTAATTTCGACCGGGGTATGGTGCAGTATCAAAACCGGGAGATTTCCTCTTATAAAAATGTGCCTGGCAACCTCTAGGACAATTTTTATCCCAGTATGTGCATAGAAATTCTATGTATAACATTTATTTAACAATTAAAGTATAGCTTTATCCGGGACAATTTTCTTTCTAATGGAAAAATTCTAAAAGGAAAATTTAAAAAATCCGTGGTATAAGGTGTTAATTTGAAAATTATCCTTTTAGTTAAGAAAAATGCCCATATCTGCTTCTGTACCTCTTTGTGTAATTCAACATATGATATACAGGAATCTGGTAGAAAATATATTGCATCAATACTTTGTAACTGAGAGATTTTCTTACTAAATGTCTCATAAGACTTGTATTGTCATGTGCAACCCAGATCCGTTAAAATTTTACCATTGTACTGATGGCAGGTTAAATAGTGTTCAAATGTTATGTACTAGTTGAAAACTTAGGATATAATTTTAAAAAGAGCCCCAAAATTCCAAACGGTAGTGAATCATTTTATCTGAACTATTTACCTTGAGTCTGGCAACAATTAAACATCTGTTCCAGTGCACACACCTCATACGAGCAATGTTTAATACCAACATTTAACATATCTACCAGACACTATAGATGAGGGTTCATGGCCAAGGGTACACTTTGCCAGCCTGAGGTATTTTTGATTTTTCTTCTTCTTCTTCTTCTTCTTTGATTTTGATAGAGGAAATCAAGTCTGATACGCCAACAAGCAATTGGTTAACTGCAAAGAGTGGCAGAAAGAAGAGGTGTCCTTATACTAAACATCAAACACTGGAATTAGAAAAAGAGTTCTTATTCAATATGTATCTCACTCGAGAGCGCCGCCTAGAGATCAGTAAGAGCGTGAACCTCACTGACAGGCAGGTCAAGATTTGGTTTCAAAACCGCAGAATGAAGCTTAAGAAGATGAGCAGGGAGAACCGAATCCGAGAACTGACCGCTAATCTGACCTTCTCTTAAACCGTAAACCTGGGGGTTGAAACAGTGAGAACTGGGTACAGCACCGCCAGTTGCAAAATGCAGGAGAGACTTTGAAAAAAAAACCTTCATTTTTCATTTTTTTCTGATAGAATGTGACTTTTCGTCATTCATTTAGTGCTGCAAGTGAATATGTATTACTATGATAAGTATATATATATAAAAACCTAGCACGTGTAATTTATTTTTTTCTCATCGTAATGCAGGGTAACTATGATTGAATATTATCATTTGGTCTTAACTTATTGGAACTGTCGAACATCCAAACAATGTGACTTTTTCATGTTTTTTCTAAAAAAATGGTATTTATGTCGGGCTAATATACGGGCCATAACATTTTGAATACATTCAATACTTTAAGGGGGAAAAACTTTCGGGAAAAAAGCACATTAAAATGTAACTATTCTATCAAATGAACTTAGAAATTGTCCTTCATAAAATGGAATAGTTAATTCTTCTCCATTGTAGACATTTTCTTGTGGTGCATATGTGGTATAGTAGTCGTACAACAGCAATATGTTCTTCTTGTGCATGTTCTATTCGCATGTATAATGCAATAAAGTCTGTAAACTACTGCGGTTCCTTTGGTTTTCTAAAAAATGTTTAAAAGTGCAGATTCAGGTTGGTATCCTGATCCTGCCTTATCAGCAGTTGGTTGGATTGATGTAGCTTCTTTTCTTGTTTCTTCTCTTTTGTGTGTGTGGTTTTATTTGGGGGGGGGTGAGAAATGATATAAACCTAATTATTTTATAATTGTGACTGTAAACAAATGATTAATTGGTAAAATGTTGTGTAATCGTTCGCAGTTTGAAAAGTGAATGCAAAAGGGATAGTAAAATATTATGGCATAAACTGGACATCCTCATTCAATCAACTCATAAATGGTAAGTGATAAAAAAAATCTCTAGTACAAGCTGTCAGCAATCTGTGTGTCGTTTTATTTGACATTAGGGTGTTGATTTAAAAAATAACAGTCATTGTGTACCTATAATGTGTAGAGTTTGATTTCTTGTCCTCGTTTGCTTTTAAAAATGCAACATACAAAATCCACAGATATGGGTACAGAAAAACATCATGAAGCTCTTGGTGAGCTCAAGAGCTTTAAGAGCATTGTGGAAGAGAAACAATTCTCTTAGATATCTGGCAAGGATGGGTTTTTTCTACTAGCAATGCTCACAACGGTGCACACTAAAGTACGACAACCTATTCAGACCTACTTTTGTTATTCTGCACCATTTTTGTTTGCTCGGAAGATCGTTTTATTTCACGCAATTCCATTTTTATAACATATATGAAGCTAATAAAGTTCACGACTCTTAACGATACATAGCTGGAAAATGTTATTAACAGCCACTTTATCTTGCAAACTGGGGGAGGGAGGAAGAGGAGGGAATGAAATGCTAAACAGAACTGTAAATGGCTTGCAAATGAACATGACTCCACATTGAAGTCCAAATGCTTGAACATACTTTCACCTTCTAACAATCCTGGAAAGAAACGTGTGGATACTGTCTACTCTCGAAAAACAGCATTCAGACAAAAAAACACCCCCTCTCTACCCATGCAGTTTCCAAAGCAAGAGATAAGCTCCGAGATATTTTAAATGTTTTCTTCCTTAATGACACGATTACAGTTCATATTACAATTGGTGATATCAAATTTTCCTCCCTTGTCTCGGGTATATAGTTTAGATATACTGGGCTGGAAACAATTAGTAACATACTATATTTTCCTCAAGCCAGAGAACAAACATTTTGATGCTAAAGACGCAGATAGTATTCACGTATGATGTTTTTATCCTGGTTTCAAAATATCCATACTAAAACCAAGGTTCTCCATCAGTTTAAATAAGAAATATATTTGAACCTCTATTTACTTTCTTCTCCTTTCGCGTAAAAGTTCTCAATACATCGCCAAAGAAGTTTCAGTAGTGGAAATGCAATTAGCTGGCTACACACCAAGTTTTCACATGTATGAAAAAAATGTTCATTTAAATCTTCCTGATTAATCAGTTTATATTTATTAATAATTAAGTGTAATATCTTAACATGAAACAAGTTGTGTATACGGAAAATAAAATTTCAGCATGCAAATGCAAAGGAAGAAGACAGCCATAAATCATTAAATAAACAGGAATTTCAGTCCCTTCCTTATATTTGTCAGTGCGTAGGAATTGCTTTCCTGTATGGTGTTATGTTATATTCTCAACGAGTACTGTTGTGGGTTATGGACTAACTATGTGCATTTTCTTCAGATTCAAATACGTCCATCTTCAGTATGTCTGAAGGAACAGAAATGTGCAGAAGAATATGGGTAATTTAGTTTTAAATACTAACCAAATATTCTTTTAGTTGGTGAAGCACACACGGTTCAGAAGAACCCATCTAGGGATGTGAAGTAAATAAAGGGGATTCTCCATCTCCAACTATTTTTGGAGGTGGGGGAATAACAGCCAGATGCCTTTTGCATATGCTTGGTAGGAATGTAGTAGAAGGGGCTGTGCATTAGACTCTAAATAGGAAAACCTTGTCTATCAATAGTGCAATGTCTCTCCTGCTGACGTAGAATTGTTTTCAAATGTGCTTTTATTTATAGTTGTAATGTACTTGTAAGAGATTTCGTTGGATAACGTTTGCCGATAGTTCATTAGCCAAATTGTGACGAGGCTACAATTGATGATACAATAACGTTTGCCATGTTGGAACATCCGAGCCCCGAAGTTTAACAAATTCAGGGGCATGTGTTCAGGAGCGAGTCAGTTGTACAGGGAGACACAGGTTTTGCTGTCCCATCAGTCCGTTTTATTAGGGACACATTAATCTATAATCAAATCCACCTCATAAAATTTTTATGGAAAGGCATAAAATCATTACGGAGGTCTTCCACCTGTTTTAAAACAACACAGTGGGCATCTCTCTCTCTCTCTCTTTCTCTTTTTTAAAAGTCCCTTAAATAGAAACTTTATTTAAAAGACGGAGGAATACAGCCACATGCTTTGAAATATGGAAGTCACCACAATGTGCTTTTACTGTAACGTTTTCCTGTTTTATGAGCAGTCGTATACTCGGAGCGCTGGGATGTGGTTTGATTTTACAAGCAAGAATCTCCCCTTTCCCAGCGGGTTCTCTCGGCAGATTTCAGTTTAATTCGGAAGCCCGGGCTGCTGGGTTTATTTAAACACCCTGCGTCTCACTGATTAAGAAATGAATGGCAGAAATCACTCCAAGGAAGTGAAGAAATAGTTCCCGGCTGTCTCATTCTTGTGCTGCTGGCTCGGGCCACGCCCGCTTGGGATCCTGCTGGGACACAGGCGCAGCTGTCTCCCGGTGGGCTCCTTCCGGGCCGTACAGTTACAGTTTGGATTTAATTGTCTGTTGTTGTTATTGTTGTTGACGATTTTTTTTTTTAATCACAGCAGCCCCAGTTTAGCGGATTGATTTACTAGTAGTATTGGTAAATATGATCACGTGGGCTCCACAACCAATGGTTGAGGGTTGCAGTCTGCAAAATACTACGATTGTTCTCAGGGAGGGCATCATACACAGTTAACAGAGTAACCTTTTATATGACTAAGAGGGGAACCTAAAAATGTCGTCTAGTGGCACCATAAGTAACTATTATGTCGATTCTCTCATAGGCCATGAAAGCGAAGAAGTTTACGGGAGTAGATTCGTCCAGGCAGGTCACAGTGCGTCCTCCAGGCCATCAGGTGTTGCAGAGAGTTCAGATTTTTCTTCCTGTAGCTTTGCACCAAAATCCACCGTGTTCTCCACTTCTTGGTCCACGGTCCATCCGCAGCCGTCTGCGGCAATGACAGGGATCTACCATCCCTACATGCACCAGCCCCACTTAGGGGCAGCCGAGACTGGCAGATACGTGCGCTCCTGGATAGAGCCCTTCCCCGGCTTCCCCAGCAGCAGCTCCAGCTCCTCCAACGGGCGCCACTACGGGATAAAGCCTGAAACGGGAGCAGCTGCCTCCTCTTCCTCCTCCTCCTCCTCCTCCTCCACCTCCAAAAGGACTGAGTGCTCCTCGTCCCGAGAGTCTCAAGGGATCAGTGTGCCCGAGTACACGTGCAATTCCTTCCTGCAGGAGACCCGGGAGAAGACGGCTACTTGCAGCCCTAAGGAGCCTCCAGGCTGCAGCCACAACCCCAGCCCGAGCAGCGATCTGAAGGAAGAGAAGCAACAGCAACTTGACCCAAGTAAGTAAAAAAGAAATTGCCCCTTTGATTTATTGCCGAAACCTGTAAGGCTCCAATGTGCAAAACTGATAGTTTTACTAACCTATAAAAACGTCTAGACGCCTACCCTAGCGCAAGCAGCAACAAGCACCCATAAAAGACTCCACATAACCACCTACCATCAAGACATGATTTGTACAGTAAACAGACTGGGGTATTAAGGCTTTTATGATAATTCCTACAAAGTTGTGAAGAGTCCATCCTTCGTTAAATTTAACGACCTTTCTTCCCTCACCCCCGTCTCCCCCTTCTCCCTATATACCTCCCTTTTTCCAGATAATCCGGCAGCAAACTGGATCCACGCTCGTTCAACGAGGAAAAAGCGTTGTCCCTATACAAAGTACCAAACTCTGGAACTGGAAAAAGAATTCCTCTTTAACATGTACCTGACTCGGGACCGCCGTTACGAAGTAGCTAGGATTTTAAATCTCACAGAGAGACAGGTCAAAATATGGTTTCAGAACAGAAGAATGAAAATGAAAAAGATGAACAAGGAGAAAGGAAATAAAGGAGACTAACCCCCGGGGGTAGACACGCATTCTTCTTCTTCTTATTATTATTATTATCGTTCCCCCTCCAGCACCAGATGCGTTTTTGCAGAACTTTATATCAATCTGATCTTTGAGGTAGAAGGGGAAATGTGATCTATGTCAGGTTTTTTTTTTGGGAGGGGGGAATTCTGTCTTGCTCGCCAATGTGTTTATGAAAGTTGCTTCATTTCCCTCTCTCCCTTTCCCCAAACTGTTTGGTTCATGATATTGTGAGTGAACGTTAGCTTTGGGACCTTAGTGTTAAATGTTTTACGTGTTTCTTAATGTTATGTAGTGTAGATAGTCACTTTGCCAAAATAAAGGTAAAGGACATAAGTATAATTATGATAATAAATATATATATTGAAGTACACTTGTTTAAATCAATAGCAGTATTGTGTTGTTCATGACATTAAAATAATCTATTACCAAAACCTCTGTTTTCAGTCCTGAATTTTGTCCTTTGCATTAGGTGCCAGAGTGAGGCAATGAGAACATTCTTCTTCTTCTTCTTCTTCTTCTTCTTCTTCTTCTTCTTCTTCTTCTTCAGTGCACTATTAGGCGATTGTGTCATACCTGAAGCAGTTTTCAATAGGCCTAACATTTACTGATGCCTTGGATAGCTGGAGTTCTGAATATTAGTAAATGTTGTATCAGCCATCACATGTTTCTAACTAAAGACCTGTTGTAATTATTGTCAGTTATTCCATAATAAACTCCTACTAGATCAAATGAAATCACTGCAATTATATGCGCAACCCGTGTGCGTTCCTCTTCTTTTGGCACCGCATAATTAGCCGCAATCATATGAAAACAACAAATGCACTATTTTCTCAGTGTCTGGTATATGCCCCAATAAGCATTTTTATGTATAATACTGGTTAATTTATCGTTAACGCGAGGCTTTAAAAAGGCAGTAGAGACTCTGATCTCTCGGTTATTTCGTACACAGGAATTTTGGAAAGAAGATTGCTGCCCACTGTAGCTCCAAATTAAAACTACTTCAACACAGATACTAACTCAGCCTTATATTTGTAGTTACCGAGATAAAAAAAGATTCATAATGTTTCTACTATAGTCAGCAACCGCCTTCTCTAAAAGTTAATCGCAAGGGGGTTTGGCTTAAATTATATATTGTAGATATGCCTGCATCATTTTTCAGAAAACACGTTATACACAAATTGTCTTTCAAAAATCAGTAAAGTTTCACAGGTGACCTCTTGGAGTAATCTAGGAAATATTTGGAGCTCCAAAGCCAAATATTTACGATACCTAATTAATTATTTTTTTGCCATTTTAATCTCTGCGCTGTTTAATCTGAACACTAATAGATTCAGAATGGATTAATGCCACTTCCAGGTTATCAACTGGAGGAGAGGGGGAGAGTATGTAGCAACACATCTCATGCCTTCAGCATTTATAAACACACAGGACTTTATCAAGATAATTAAGATGAAGTTCATTGTAAAAGAACCTTGCTTTGTTTAAAGAGCAACCATTAAAATGAAGGATCTGCAAATGTTTATGAGCAGTTGTTTAAGATTAAGGAAAGAGTTGCAGAGACCTGGTATTTAACGTTTTTACCTCTGGAAAAAAAGTGGAAAGGCAGATAGTGCTAAGAAAAGGTGTTGCATTGCTTCCCCATTCATTGTCAACCCTATACCTATAATTCTTTTAAAGCAGGAAGAACCGAGGTATAATAAAACCATTGAGATGGCTAGACGTCTGGACCTAATGAGTTTACGATACGCTATGGCGCTTTTCTTTGAAACTATCTTATTTTGATGTTTGCGGTTGTTAGAAGAAAACAAAAATACAGACAAAACTCGGTCTTAAAATCTGGACTATAAATTGCAGTATGTCACCATTGGGCCAAGACAACACAGTCAAGAAAAGACACTCAGGTCGAAAAGTTAACAGAGGTTTTAACATGTAATTTATTGTTAAATTATATTTGTAGAAGTGTTAGATGGTGATCAATGCTGTTGCGAATAGGTACATATTTTTGAAAGTAGCCGTTTTTACTGGCTGATCTAAGATGCAAGCTGTATTACTGCAATCGGGACGCTTCATGGCATTGATTCCATTACCTATGCTGGGAAGAAACTGCAATCAAACTAAGGCGATATAGATAGAACCTGATTTTAATATTTGCCAGTCGAAATGGCAGGGTTGAAGTTGTCCTGTTTTTTTTTTTTTTTTTTTTTGCGTTGTATTTATGTATATTTATTTCCAAATGGTCTGAGGAAAATGAAGGCGTTTCGAGCCACTGAGTAGCCTACAACTTCCATTTAAACAAGGTGCTGTCTGTGTCCAGCGACACGACATTTTAGTTCCTATAGGCTGACTGCTTTAAGAATGAAATATAAGAACTGTACTATATACCAATCAGTTAAGTGGAATGTTCGGTGTATTTGAGATAAACAATTGGCTGGATGGTGAAAAGAATAGTCTTTACTTAAGTTTACAGTTACAAAAATAATTAAATCAAAAGCAAGTTCAAAAATTCTGAACCTGAAAATACCAAACATCTAGTATTAGTGATGTAAGATGTCAAGTAACAGGACCAAAAATGGGAGAGCAACGGTCTTCAACATTTAAGCCCTTAGACGTCTTTATTGGCTGCTTTGTCTAAAGAAGACACTTAATTTTACCCGTGCTTAATTATAGCACGGGTAAAAATGGAAAGACTACTATAAATGTGTTAAAAGATACGGTATTATAAACTATGAATAAAAAGCTTTTTGTGACTAAAGGTATAGAATTCAACCCACTCTATTTCTCAGTGTAAAGAGTGCTGTTCTCTACATTCCTTTGGTTTTGTATGCCTTGCTTAGATAACTTTAGATGTTGAACGTGAAAGATAAGAGCTGCTATTTATATAATTCATGGAAGCCAGAGTTAAAACGAGTAAACTACTTTTAAATCAAGGTAGAGTAAGTATAGATAGAGAGAAGTTAAAGCGATTTGGTTGCTGATCACAATTTCAGTTGACCACTAGAGAGCGCTGTTGCTCCATTTTATGATTCTTGAGACGCCACTGCTTCTGGCTTTCGTGCAGAATGTATTTTTATTAAAATATAGACATTCCGACTTTTAATCATGAATTGTACATTTGTAATCCAAATTAAACAAGTGTAACTGTTCTTTACTATGATCTAAATGGATAACTTAGAAAAACCTTGCGCAATCAGCAGTTTTGAGATGACAGAAAGATTCTCGCAGACTACACCTTATATGGCACAATATTTAATTATATGAAGCCATAAATATATAAACAGCTATGTTTTTTTCCAGGAGGTTTCAGCTCATTGTATTATATTTAAGTTATGACAATAAACACAATGATAAAATCCTTTACTTATAAGTTGTTCCCTGGAAAAAAAATAAAAGCAAGAAGTAATGCCGGCTTATTGGGCCTATTGTAGAAAAATGCTCCCTGTATTTTCTAGGATTTGTTACTGAAACTATAAAATACTTGAAGCTCTTTATGGATATTAAGCAAAAGTCTTGTGCATTCTTTCGATTAATTTACAGATTTCAGGAGTATGAACATAAACGTTATAAAGACCAAGGGTAAAAAGAAGGTAAGAAGTTAAGTTTGAACGATATTTCCCATTGTGATCTCTTCCTTGTGTTTTACAAACAAGACGAGGTTTATTAAGGTCAGAACTGGTATATGTTTCATTAAGATAAAACATATACCTAATTTTTCTCTGAGTGATCATCTGTGCATAATAATATTTATGGCTTCAGGGGAAAAAAACCTACAAATTTTATAGGGAATAAAACACATTTATTTTAAAGAACAGTTAGGGACGTAACAGACGGATACACTGTTATGAAATAATATATTGCTATATTTCACAGGCAATCTCTAGATGTATTCCTACACCCAATTAGCATAGCAAGGAAAATAAGGTCTGTCTCCATAGCCATACATTTCCATCTCACAAAAGGAATCAATAGGACAATATTTTAGGGACTGACTCCGCTCCCAGTTGCGCTGGTGTAAATCCTAAACGGTGTAGCTCTTCTAAATTTTGGAATTTACCCTGCAAATCAAGTGTGCAGCCTTTTTCACACAAGAAGTATGCGTTGTCATAAGTAAGAGCGGCTCCATGGAATTGGGATTTGCAGGATCGAGACCTACACTTGTAGAATAAGCAGTTCAGTATGTTTTTCGAACACACATACTCAGCTGAACACAAGATACTTGTTAGAAGCAATTACAGATTAGAAACCATAACACCAACAATAATTTGCGTACATATCCTTTAAAACAACTGAGCTGGAAAATAAATTCTCCGGAATAACATTGTATATTTTATGACATTCTATTTCTTCCTTTCCGCTGAAAGATGTCTTAACGTGTTTTATGTTAAACTGGATATTCTGTCTCGGGTTTTTATGCATAGACAAGTTCATTTTGTGGAAGTTACCGCATGTTACCTACATAAACAGAAAAAAAAATGGATGTTTATTGGACACAATAACATAAGGGAGAAGTATGTGTGTGAGAGAGACAGTGAAAGATGGGAAAGGATTCTGGAGTCTCTTTTATGTAACCACAAATATTTTTTTCGATTCGCAACAGACGGTCACACATGGCTCTGAGTGGATCTATTGTATGTTTAAAACAGGACATTGAGATCATATTCATGTTTATCCTATAAACTGACTTTTATTTAACGAAACTCTTTTGCCAAAATATGGGAAAATCGGGGGTCGATTCCGCACCGCTTGAAACCAGTGGGAGTTTGACCAATGTGAGAAGTGGATCAGACTCTCAAGTCTTTGTTTGAATTGAATTTAAAGACAGAATCACTAAATTCGTAGGGAGGGACCTGAATAATCCCCGGTATTTCTTTGCCCAAATAACAGATTAATAACGCAGAGCTTCAGGTGTGGAACGTTGGAACAAACATTGACCAGCCTCTATACTCTATGAATTATTTGGGGGAGTGCTATGGCCTGTGTTATACAACAGGTCAGACTAGATGGCCAGGATGGGCCCTTCTGGCCTTGGAATCTATGAATCTCCCTTGGCATTCTGCTGAAGTGAATTCAGAGAGAGCAGCGTGTACTGTACACCGAGAAATGCAAATGGCCTACAAGCCTTCCTTCCCTGGCCCCTGAGAACCTTCCTACCCTATTTCTTATTCCATCCCCAAGCGATGCTAATGCTCACCCACACATTCTTCTTTTCTTTTTTCTTTCTCCTTTTTTTTTTCCTTCGCTAATGACGTTCACCCAGGGTGAAATGATGGAAAGTATATTCATAGGCATGATTTCCATTCAGTATCAATTAACCTGGGAGTCGCAGCCATGCGTGCACTGCGTCAAGGGTAACCGTGCATCTCATTTCCAATCTATCTGCTGGCTTAGACAATGGCCTGATTCCTGCGGAGGACACCGGGGCCTTTCTCTGTTGCGTGGGTTTACCTGAAGAACAGTTATCTCCCTGTTGCATTGCCAGCGGAGACGGATGGACGGCTATAGCTCCAGATGATCAGCCCGTCCCTGAGCATGTTATTTTGCTTCTCCGGGTTAGGTGCCTTCCCTCGCTTCCCCAGGTCTCCCCTTTGGTTCCCTTGTCCCGTGTATTAGACAGGCCTGCGCGTTGCACGTTAGCCCTACCATTGAATTTGGAAGAGGCACATTAGCCCTTGGCAGAGCTGCCTGTTTATGGCAGGCGTGGGTGTCTCTGTGTCTCAGGGCAGGCGTCTGGCCCGCAGCGCGCTCAGCCATTGGATCAACCCGCCCCGCAGTTATCTGGGGCCGATCTCGGCCTGCTCCGCGGGGTTTTAAATATGCGCTTTCCGAGCACACCCCGGGGGTGCAGGTGGCGGGGGCTAGGAGGGGGGTATTTGCGCTGTGCCTCGGGAGCGGGACGTGCCAAGCCAGGCCGAGGCTCCCCCTGCCCGGGAGCGCGTGTGCGTGTGTGTGGGGCCGCGGTGTGTGCCTGATAGGAAACCGTAAAAGCAGCGAGGCAGGTCATTCGGGGAGCGAGTCCGTCCCAGCCCGGGCACCGCCGCCGCGCAGAGCAGCAGCCGGACGGCAGCGGCGCCGCCAGCAGTGCGGAGCGGAGCGGAGCGGGCCGGGGGCGGCCGCGGCAGCCCCTCCCGGGGCCTGGGCCCCCTGCGCCGCCGCCTGCTGCTGTGCTGGCCGCGGGCCCCCTCCCCCGGCCGCGGGCAGCGCCCATGAGCTCCTACTTTGTCAACCCGCTGTACGCCAAGTACAAGGCGGCGGCGGCCGCGGCCGCGGCGGCGGCGGCGGCGGGCGAGCCCCTGGGCCCTGCGTACTACGACTGCCCTTTTGCGCCCGAGGTGAGCGGCCGCCACGCCGCCGCCGCCACCGCCCTGCTGTACGGGACCAGCGCGGCTGCCGCCGCGGGCTTCCAGCCGCACCCCGGGCCCGGCGGCGGGGGCCCAGACTATTACCTGCCGGCCGGGGGGGAGCCCCGCGGCTGCCTACCAGCCGCCTCCTCCCCCTGCTCCCGCGCCGCCTCCTCCTGCCCCCTGCGGCGGGATTACCTGTCACGGGGAGCCCGCGAAATTTTACGGATACGATAATTTACAGAGACAGCAGCTTTTTACGACCCAGCAAGAGGCCGAGCTGGTACAATATCCTGACTGTAAATCGTCCAGTGCTAATATTGGCGAGGAACCAGACCACTTAAATCAGAGCTCGTCTCCCGCTCCAATGTTCCCCTGGATGAGACCGCAAGGTTGGACGCAGGCAAAAACAATTTGCTTCCATCTCACGTCTGAGTTCTAAACTTCTTTTCCTTCTCTCTCCTCCTCCTCCTCTCCCTCTTCCTGTCTCTGCGGCTCTGTGTGTGCTGGAACCGCGCTGGGGTTTGAGAATAAAGTAACACAGCGAGGAAACCAAAGTCTGTGCAGTAGATGCAGGAGACACCAGGGTAGCCTTAAACTCTCTGCTCATAGGCGTAGGGCGTAAATCCCATGAATACAGGTACACCCGTGTCAAAAAAGCTCTGTGCTTAAATGTAAATACTGGGTATGTTTTTCCAGAGATCAGATCATAAAGTAAGACAGTAAATTCTGATGTGTAATGAAAGCAGAGTAGTGTAAGAAATGTCTACAGCTATTTTTCTGTACCCTTGTACACAACTCCATATCTAAATAGCCACATATCTGTATGTATTCGTTGTATGCACCTAGATAGTCTCCCAGCTGTATGCTTATGTCTAGATGAACAGACACATATAAGAGCCCAGGGCAATGAGCTCTTTGTTTTGAAAAATGCTGTGTTTTTGTTTTAATCAGCAGCGCCTGGTAGGAGGAGAGGAAGACAAACATACAGTCGTTTCCAGACGCTAGAGCTGGAAAAGGAATTTCTGTTTAACCCTTATCTGACAAGGAAGAGAAGGATTGAGGTATCCCACGCGCTAGGACTCACCGAGAGGCAGGTAAAGATCTGGTTTCAGAACAGGAGGATGAAATGGAAAAAAGAAAACAACAAAGACAAATTCCCAGCTTCCAGACAGGAGGGAAAGGAAGGGGAGGCCAAAAAGGAAGCACATGATCTGGAAGAAGACAGAGCTGAAGGCCAGACGAATTAAGTTTTGCCTTTAAACATTAATAAAAGACTATTGAAAATAACGATCCACGCATGCTGGGAAACACGGCCGGTTTTCTTTGCTGTAAAGGTCCTTACTTGTGTTTCAGGCTATCCTGTGTCTTTAGGCTTGACGTTTCTGTACTTTTGTTTTTTGTTTTGTTTTTACTGTATCAGGCCCAATCTCTAGATCACTTATTCTTATTTACATGGAAATTTGATACCGAATATGTAGCAATATATTTTGATTGTAATTTTCCAAAGTTTAAAAGATGGTGATTACTGTCAGCGACATAAACTTCCTAATGATAAGTACCAATAAGCGAGACATATAAAATGCTTTATTAATCAGAACAAGTGCACTTGTACTATTTTAAACTTTTTCCTATATTATGTTGAGTAAGTTAAAGAAATCTAATAATTTTGAAGAAATTATCTTATTAAAATATTTACCTTCTATTATTGATATTGATTAAAATAAACATAATTTTATTCAAATGTAATACTTACCCGTTTTCTTATCTCCCTTTTGTAATTCATTGGCTCGATAACCTTCTGGAGGTCTGCAATTACGGTAACTTTTTTCCTTTCATCGTTTCTCACTATATATGGTATAGCTGGGAGAGCTTAAGTCGAAGACTTAAGGAGCACAGCCGAAAAACGGCATTCTTTTAGACAAAGAACAGGTGACCTGAAGTCTATGGAAACTGCGATAGCCACAAGATTGTTGTTGTTTTGGTTGTTATTTGTTTTTAAATAGGCTTTATCTTGTTCTGGCTGAGTCAATGGAAGCTTGTCATTGATTTCAATGGTAGCAGACTTTTACTTTTTTGCCATAGTTAATTTGAGAGAGAGAACTTTGTGACAATTAAATCGTCTATTGAATTAATACTTGAAAGGCCGATGATATAATTCAGAAGGCCTGTTCCTGCATTTCTTTGATACTTAGTCTCTTGAAGTCATTGGGCATTTGGGGTGCACAGGTAATGCAGGATCTGGTCCATGCCCATTAACTCTCCAACACTGCTACTGTTTCACAGTTACTTAGAAACCATTCATCTCACCATGAATTTTCCTCGTATTTTCATTTTCAGCTGCTGTTGTAATTTTCATTAATTGCATGTTATTGGTCTATTTACCTTTTACAATATTTGTTTATTGCAGGGTCCCCATATTTATTTGTGTTACCCGTGTGGGCCTAGTAAAATCATTTGATCCATCTTGATTTTTTTTTCCCCAGTGGTGCAGGTCCATATGTCTTCATACTGTTATTCTTGAAAACAGCAATGCCTCTTGCAAATGAATATTGTGATCAGAACTCAAAATAGTAGAACACATCTCTGACTATTTCATAAAATGTAGATCGCTTTAGTTAGGCATGTACTGTCTGCATTTCCACAATAATACGTCTTTGTAATACTACAGAACATCAACGTCAGCAGAGTAATAAAGTTTATTTCCATTTTTTCATTTAGTAAGAAGGGGAATTTGTATAGACATATATATGATACTGCTAAATGACAATCCAGTTTTAATTAAGAGTTTTCAGGTTTCAAAAATCTTATCCATCAACTATTTCAGTCTCTGGCACATAACCGCACGATGCTATTGGACAGGTATACTTTTATTTTATCTTTAAAGGAAAACGCAGCCAAACACAGGACTCCTATCCTGCTAAACCTCACTCATCTGAGTATTCTTTACTCACATGAGTACTCTTGTGTCTACTAGGTTTGGAAGCATGAATAAAAGCTACTCAAGTAAGTAAATCTTTGCAGGATCCGGCCCTAGACCAGTGCAGATCGAGATAAGCACAAACGAAAAGGGAAAGGCCCTTTTAACCCCTAAACAAAGCTACCTGTATATTTCTGATTTTTGGTTTTCTCTCATTTCGTGTGGGGCTGTTTGAAAAAAAAAACCCTTGGGGATTGGTATCGTGTAGTCTCATTAATCCTGAAATTTAGAAATATAAAACAGCCCAGAGGAAAATGCTTATATTTAGAACAGGCGATGTGAAGGGATCTCTCCAAAAAGGCGTAAGGTCCCCAGGATCTCATAAGAAAAGTATACCATGCTACTTGTGTTTTTGCTTGAGAGGCAGTTGCAAACTTGATCAAAAAGCAAGTCCCCCTGCTTTAGTATAATGCTTCGATATCTTTTTGTTCTGATAGAGAAAATACTATTTTTCTCCCCCAGGCATGATATTTCTCGTGATCTGATCGGACCAAGTGAAAATAATCCTTGTCTGCTGAAGATTTCTATTTCATAGTCTCCATCAAGATTTTGCTTAGAACCTTCTCCTCCCCACAGTCCCTCCCACATTACATGAATTATGTTTCGTGCAAAGAAACCACAGGAACGCACTCAGTGGTGCAACAAATGGCTTCCCGCTCTTAAATTATCTGGTTGATAAACAAACGTGTCCTCGCGGAAGCAGAAATCTAAAATTGTGTAAATACCAGTTGCCTGTAATGTATACTGGGGTGGGGGAGGAGGGTGTAGGGAGGTTTTGAAATGGCCCACACTTCAGCCCAATTTGTGTGCAGCCCTGCGCTGCGCTGTTTGCTCAGACCAAACTGCTAGTTCAGACAAGCCCCGATCCTGCTCCCTTTGATTCAGTGGTGCAGGATCCGCCAGGAGTGAGAACTGTATTAGTGGGACAAATTCCAATCTCAGTTGCTTCGCTGAAAATCCACAAAAAGAAAAGGAGTACTTGTGGCACCTTAGAGACTAACCAATTTATTTGAGCGTAAACTTTCGTGAGCTACAGCTCACTTCATCGGATGCTCACGAAAGCTTATGCTCAAATAAATTGGTTAGTCTCTGAGGTGCCACAAGTACTCCTTTTCTTTTTGCGAATACAGACTAACACGGCTGCTGCTCTGAAACCTGAAAATCCATAGTAATTCCACTGAACGCAGTGCAGTTTTCCCGGATTTGACACGATCTAAGGAGGTGTGAAATATGGCCTAAAGAGAGGCACTGGACAAGGATTTATAAAATTCAGGTTAACTGGTTTCTTTTACTCCGGTGCACTTGTATACTTCAGACTGAACCTCATCTAAAGAAAACAGCCTTGAAGGAGAGCGATTCAAGCAAAGCTATTGTTCTGATCTATTTTATAAAGGTGAAAAGTTTGATCTCGTACTTGGTTAAAACTCCTAAACGTGTGGAAACTGCAGAAAATCCATGAAGCAAACATTTTGCTGCATGAATTTGCATAAATACACCAGTACCCCCCTAGTGTCAGCAAAGGCTGTGTGATTTGGTAATGTAGACTTACAGGCAACCTGATATTCGGAAACAGAATATATATATATATATATATTAATATCAGGGGTAAAAATATACTCCCTGACCGGAGACAACATGAACATCTTTCCTCCGGACCAAAACTGGCTTGACTAAATTATATGTAGGAAAATCCTGTCACAGGGAAAGCCATTTTGAAAGGCCAGGAATGTCTGAACTAGCGTACCAATGACTACCGTAGTCTATAAACCCGAATCTTGCTTTTTAAAGTGGCTATTTATCCCACTGATATGTATCAATCTGGATGAAGACTTTTGTGGACAAATATTTGATTCTAAAATAAATCTATTTTTCAAAGCAGAGAGAATAAAATACAAATATCTATTAAAAATTGCTTGTTCGCATGTTTTTCTAGAGAGGTGTATAAACAGGTTACCAGCAAAGAAAAGGAACTAACGTCCACGCACTCTGTACAATTTATTTGCAGTGGGCTAGCAATATTACCCCAGAGTATATCCATCTCGTTCGTTCTTGGGGAAAGGGGCCCCCAAAAAACACTTTTAATTTTGGCTTTGTGAGTTTATAATGCTATTTCGTACCCTTGGCTCTCGGATATCAATGTGGAATTCCGCTAAATACATCGATGGCACAAAATGGCCCACAGTGTGACAACATACAGCCCCGTAAAATCCGGGTCCTGTGATTTACAGAGGGAGCGGCAACATTTGGAATGAAAAGTGTTTTCGATGTGCTAGTGGATGCAGCGCCAATTCAAACAAATCCCCCAGAGCAGTTTATAAAAATGGCACCTTTTATTTGTGCGATTTAATTTCAATTTTCAACATCTGTGCTTTACAAGAGTGAATTACAAAATATCACTGCTGTTGATACCTCTATGCATGGACGTTGTTGTGTGTATTGCACTTGTGTGACATTCATTTCGATGTCCCTTTGCTCACCTGTAATTCACTCATGTAGAATATTAAAGAAGGGGGTGTATATATTTCAGGATACTTTATTGTAAACTCTATTTTCCATTTGTTTGCACAATTATCTTGGATGCTGATAGGGGAGGATTCGTAGCAATGTCCTAATGTCAAAACGTGAAGAGGAAACACCCAGGAATGTCTGGCGGTTTTGCTCCGATCTGCATATGTAGGTCCAGGGACAATTTTTAAGAAATCAAAGTTTTTTCTGAGCGGCAAATGTCATACACATGGCTGTTTTCTCCAGATACAAACGGGTTAATTAAACTCACGTAAAAATGGAAAAAAACACACAACAGTTAAACAACGTGGAAGATTCCACCTTCGAATTAAAGAAGCCACTGAGCAACCTGTGTGCATTAAAAATTTGAGACTAGTTAGGAAGAAATTAATCCAGCTCAGTTTATTTGTAGGCTATCAGTGAGCTTCAGTTCAGTAGGGGCGCTAAAGCAGTTCTGTTTCTTTTGGTTTGGGGAAAATATAAATTACATAAATTAAAAAACGGATTAGGAATAAATTCCAACACTCCTGGTATATGAAAACCAAGAAATTTAGATAACAGGTAGGGAAGAGGATCTCCCCTTTGTACAGCGCTGGCACCAGAACTTCTGGGAGGACTCCAGAGACTTTAGGACGCAGGCTTGTGTTTTTGTGGAAATAAGCACGCTTCAAACAAACCCGGATTTCTTTTGCATTTTCTTCCATAACTTCTCTGCCTGGGAGTGCGACTCTTCAGCGGCGTTGATTACACGACCAAGTCAGATTGCACAGATGATCTGCCATGCCACGGAAAATAGGGGAAAGACAGGAAATAAAGCTAGAGAGAGAGAGAGGGAGAGAGAGAGAGCAGGCAAAAGAAACATGGCGCTGGTAAGCAGTATGTGCAAAATCCGCAAGGAATTGCAGTAAATTCCTTTTTGTTTGAAGAAAATTTACAACTTGGTAATAGACCTTTTTATGACCTATTTGGGCTCGTCATTGGCTGAGGCTGGTCATGTGCAGGCAGTGATGGCTTTCATGGCCTTTTTCCTGATTTCCCTGGCGAATTTCC